TTCTGTTCCTTCAAAATCAGTAGACAGTACTCCTTATGAGTTTTGGAAATGGCGCAAGCCTAGTTTCTCACAAATTTAAATTTGGGGTTGCCCTGCACATGTCTTAGTGCAGGAGGCTGGCAAATTGGAGAAACGATCAGAAGTGAGACTATTTGTCGACTATTCCAAGGAAACGAAAGGTGGTTTGTTTTATAGTCCTGAGGATCAGAAGGTGATCGTAAGTACGAACGCTAGATTCTTGGAAGAAGACTATATCATAGATCATAAGCCCAGTAGTAAACTTGTCCTAGAGGAGTTAGGGAAAGATATCGATAGTTCCCCACCGAGTGCGCAAGTAGATACATCACATAGTACTGCAACACGTAACACTGATAGTTTGCCAGTACAGACGATACCTCGTCGTAGTGGGAGGGTTTCTACACAACCCGACCGATGGATAGGTCTTGGAGAGTCATCGGACTCAGTTCCAGGAGACCTAGAATCGGACCCAAGAACTTATGACGAGGCACTCCAAGATAGAGATGCAAATTCGTAGACACCAATCGGGTTTGGGATCTTGTAGAACCATCCGACGGGATACGTCCCATTGGATGCAAGTGGGTTTACAAGAGAAAGAGGGGATAGGACGGAAAGGTGGAAACCTTTAAAGCGAGGCTTGTTGCGATAGGTTATACCCAGAAAGAGGGTATCGATTATGATGAAACCTTTTCGCCAGTAGCTATACTTAAATCTATTCGGATTCTTTTAGCTGTAGCCACTCATATGGATTATGAAGTGTGGCAGATGGATGTTAAGACGACTTTCCTTAATGGGAACCTTCAGGAAGACATCTATATGCAGCAACCAGAAGGATTCATTGCAAAAAGGGCATGAGCACTTAGTTTGTAAGCTTAATCGGTCCATTTATGGAATGAAGCAAGCCTCAAGGTCTTGGAATATTCGGTTTGATGAGGTAATCCAGTCATATGGATTCACCCAATGTCCGGATGAGCACTGTGTATACAAGAAGATTAGTGGAAGCGTGGTGGTGTTTCTTGTGCTATACGTGGATGACATACTTCTTATTGGCAACAACAAGAAGGAGTTGTCGGACGTAAAGGCGTGGTTGTCTAAGCAGTTTGATATGAAGGACTTGGGTGAAGCAGGACACATTCTTGGTATCAAGATCATTCGTGATCGTGAGAAAAGAATGATGTGCTTATCCCAGTCTTCATATATAGATACTGTCTTAACCAGATTCAGTATGTAGAACTCTAAGAGAGGTACATTACCTTTCAGACATGGAGTACCTTTATCTAAGGAGTTGTCTCCTAAGACGACTGAGGAGATAGAGGACATGAAG